AGGTCTCTGTGGCCCAGGCCGTTGTCTTGTAGGCTCGGGCATCCTCCATGTCTATATACCCGTAACCCTTAGCCATCAACTGCTCATAGTTGGCCACTGGATTCTTGGCAAGCGAGTCGGCCAACTCATTGCTCTGCAAGCCAGGCACGAGTGCAGACATAGCAACTGCACTCCCTAGGTCAATAACCTCCAGGTTCTTTGCCTTTTGGAAGCTCTTGAAGTAGGCTCGAAGGCTCTCTCCTGGCCCTTGCCTCATCTGGATCAACACATGAGGGGGTAGTTTCTGCTTGGTGTCAGCTAGGAAGTAGTGTATGAACTTTCAGGTGAGTTGTTGGAAGCTGCTGATAGACTTCTTCTCAAGAGCATTCCACCAGAGCTTGGAACTCCCTAAAAGAGGGATGGGGAAGCATCGACAGATGACCGCTTCTAAAGCTTAGAGCATGCTCATAACGTCATAATAGTTCTGAACATGCTCCGAGAGGTCTGTCACGTCCCGCTTCCCAAAACACCAGGGAATCAGAATGTGAACAAACCCACAACGTATTAGACCGAGGAGAAATAAGTACTAGACCTTCTACTCAATCTAATACGCTAAGCGTCAAGCAATATAAAGTAAAGGCATAGGTCCCTGATCACAGTAGCGAGAATATAATAAACAACTCAGAACCAAATAATACATATCATAACTGAAATATCATCCTAGACATAATATTCGGGTTAACATGCCCTGATACAAATCCATCCAACTGAATACTAAAGGAATATAAAATACATCGATCAAGCGGGAATGGAAAGTGCCATAAAAACAAACTAAAAGGAATAACTAAGCTTCAGCTTCTTCTTCTGATCGGTCTACAAAGCACTCTTGCTGAAACTACTCTGACTCTGGTGTGTCTCCAAGTTGGACCTGTTCATCCTCTAAATCTGACGTACAACCCGAGAAAACAGGAGTACGTCAGCGTGCATGGCACACAGCAAGATCCCACAAGGGAGAATAGAAATGGTCGAATGACCAATGTAATAACCGATGTAACAACGGTAATGACAATAGAAACGTGCAACTAAAAATCTAACAATCTAGATGCAATTCACTACTAGAGTATAATAATCAGTAGAAATCCATAATCATTCACGGTGATAACCAACATAAGGTGATGATAAAGGAAATTTCTGATTGTAGATATCAAACAAAGCCTACCATAGGACACACAAGCATATTATTTTTATTTTACATGTTATTTGAATTAGAGAAGAATATTTTCATATAAATAATCGGGTCCCCATAAACCTGTCCGAGTGCCACGCCTTCAAGTCAAGTATTGGCCCTTTGGCCCATGTATATATATAACTCGTGATATCAGGAAAGCGCATGTGCCCGTTTATATACATGTTATATTCTCTGTCCAATTCCTCTTTATAAATCTCATTTTTGTCAGTTTAATTTAAGTGACTGTGCATGAAATATTGTGCACTAGCCACGAAGTTACCGTGGAACGACTTCTGTAAAACTATGAAAATAACTATGACCCAGAAATGTCCGATCAAGAGTGCATCGTCTAGTCGATGCTATAATAGTAATAGTCAAGAAAACCTCATATCGGGATGTCGATATCAAGGGGACTCGGAACTCCTCACATCGGGATATCGATGTCGAGGTGAGTATAGTCATGCTTTGAAGCACGCTTATGAATCATATTTTTAACATTAGTCGTCTTCATGTACAGTCTCTCCTATTTGATAACAACTATGTGATAAGTAACAAATTTCCATACAGTCATTCATCAAACAAATCCCACGCATGCAATAACATATCACAATCTAATCTATGCAATTAATTCATAACAGATCTAAATATTGAAAGACGATTCAATGAGCAAGAGGGATCTTGCTACTATTATCTATTCTAAAATAATCTTTTTTTAATAATAAACTTATTAATTCAGATTATACTTTTCCAAAATAAATTCTTTAAAATTGTTTCTCGTAATTATTAAGTAGTCTTCAAAAACATAAACTTATTTATCTAAAGTAATCATTTAAAAGAATTTCCTCCAAGTGATTTCTAATCTTTTAAAATCATAAATCTATTTATTTAAAAGTCCTTTTACAAAATAATTTCTTTTAAATTAATTTTCATTATAATAATCTAAAAATAGTCATTTATTCCAAAATAAATTCTTTTAAATTGTTCCTCATTATACTAATTCAAAACTAGTCTTTAGGAATCATAAATGTATTTATTTAAAATAATTCTTTTACAAAATAAATTCTTTTCTTATTATGGTAATTCTAAAAATAATCTTAAAATATTTTCTTTCAAAACATCTCGTAATTAATCATAAACTATTTTTGAACATATCCACTCATCATATATAGCACCACTTCACAAAATATAACCACCGCAGTATTATCAACAAACCCACACAGATAATAACATATCAGTCTAATCTGTACAATTAATTAATATCAAATATAAATATTAAAATAACGAGTCAAAGAGAAGCGGGATCTTGCCTTAGGTTGTGTCGAACGAGTTGACTATTGTGTTGCGACGGTTGAAGCTGACGGCGTCAGTGCAGGCTGTTGTCTGCGGAGTGAGGTGATCCCGGTCGGC